CTTTAAAAAAATTACAAACGTATGTTTTCTTTTGTCAGTATGGACTACTAAGTGTAGATCAATGAGGGAAATTAAGAAAGTATATATGATTGTAGCATCAGGCTGTAACTTAAAATATCAAAATATGGTATTGAATACCTTCAGAAGCTACAGAGACTCCTTCAGTTGTAATTGGTTTAAAATGTTTTGTTAAGGTTTACAAGGACTGTAACACCTTGGGAGTTTGTTTAGTCCCAGAAATACACCAAGAAACAAGCCTACTTGCAGACTTTACCCCACAGCTCTTCATGTTTTAGTGCTTGACATGTTACAACAATCAAGAGGCGCACAAATAAAAAAAGTGACACAAAAGTGCTCCATGCAATGGGTTTGGTCAAAAAAGAAAAGTTTGACTTGCCCCATTGTTCTTAATATTTAGAATAGTGAGGATAAGCCTCTGTAATTCATTTGCATTTAATACTTACTTTATAGTTTGTAAACAGTTTTTACATAATTTCTCTCCACTATTATTTACATCTCCAAAGTTTTCTCCTTAGGTTAAGAAAACGTTTTGTCTTGAACTCATTGCTTACACCTCTTAAACCAGAAGGCTCCACTTTTTATCTTTGATCTTCTCACACCTCCTTGGATTCCCTCCCTCTCATTTCTTTATCCTGTTTCAGGGTCCAGCACCACATGACTTTGTCAGAGAACATGTTGTGCTCCTTACTCAGCAGGATTTGTTCATTCTTTAACACTGCTAAACTTGGTGGCATCTTTCCCATGCACACTAAATCTATGTCCAGAGTTTTATTAGAGCTACTAGTTTTCAAGTGTTTAAATCCACAATATCCTAAAATAACTAAATCTTATTAAACCTCCTGCTAATATTAAAGCTCCTGCTGGTATTGGGAGTGTGTTGGAACAGCATAACTGGTTTAAAAGTTGATGCATTGATTTTTTTATCCGATTTTTAAGCTTGTTTAATAACAAAACAAGGAATGAAAGTCAGATGTGTATTTATGTTGCACATTCAAACATGTTTAAAGATAAGATGAACACTGTTGTCTGCCTGTGTGCATATAAACTCTGTCGTGTTTGCTTGATGTGTGTGTCCAATCCCTCCAGGTACGGTCACTTCTCAGGTATCAACAGGAAAGTTCAGCTGACCTACCTTAGAAACGGACAACCTAAAGCCTCAAGTGAAGAAGAAGGTAGTGAGAAACACACACAGTTTGTCCAGTGTTTGTGTGTGAACAAATAAAGAAATATGAGCATAATCAGGTTCAGCAGGAAAAATGTGAAACAAACTAATATGTTGATGGGGTGGTCAGGAGGTTATCTACTAATTGGAGGGTTGCAGTTGATTTCCAGCCTCTGCAGCATGTCAGAGTGCCTTTGAACTCGACACTTCCCCAGTACACTTATTGGTGTATAAGTGAGACTTTCAAAGTGCTGTATTATATATAATACTCATTATGTACAATACAAGGGTGTCAAATTGATTTTCACTGAGGGTCACATGAGCATTATGGTGGCTCTCAAAGGGCCATTTATAATTAACTTCAACATTTTGTGTTTAACTTTGACTAAATACAAAACGTCACAATCCTTGACTAATTACTGCTAACAAACAATAGCTGAGCTCTATATGGTATTTCCTGCATAGAAACAGTGTTTAGCACGTCCTCTTATAAGCACTTAAATGTGCTATGACTGGCTGACTAATGTGAAATAAACAATGCAGAAATACTAATAAAAGTAAAAGTTTGAGAGTTTCACTCACTGAGTTGTGGTGAGTACATGCCCTCTTGAATTCTGAACCGGACTAGCTGGAGTTGCAAGGAATTCCCATTGGCGGGGCGTTTAAGTTTAAATTTACAGCTTGTATGTGGGAAATTCCCACTTCCCATTTCAATTGGGCTGCAGCAAAAGTAGTTGATGAAAATGCAGCTAAATGGAGATTTTACATGGCGAGTTTCACTGGCTACCGGCTACTTTTGAACCCTGTGAACCTCCACCTAGTGCTGGGATGCCATTATTTTGTGGGTAAAATAATTAACATTCATTATAAGAGATCGTTTATGGTCAATAACAAGCAATGAAAGCAGCATACACTACATTATTACGTCTTTGAAGTTCTCACGGGCCACATTTGACCCGTGGGCCTTGAGTTTGACACGTGACATACTAGAACAGTAAATGGGTGAATGAGAAATATTGTAAAGCTGTTTGCAAGGATAAAAAGGTGCCATACAAATGTGCATTATTTACTATTTAAAACATAAATTATTGCTCAATTAATAAAACTTGTTTGACTTGTTAACAATGGCTGTAGCCAGAAGCTATATATACAACCGCTGGCAAAACTTATGGAATCACCGGCCTTGGAGGATGCTCATTCAGTTGTTTAATTTTGTAGAAAAAAAGGCAGATCACAGACATGACAAAACTAAAGTCATTTCAAATTCCTCAGAATTGAGTGATTCTGCTTGGTCTAAAAAATTAAAATAATTAACCGTTACTGACTACCACAATTTTTTTTCTTGAGTTCTTTTAGTGTTTCTTAAAGCCAGAAAATTGCCAGTTGAAATGACTTTTGTTTTGTGTCATGTCTGTGATCTGCTTTTTTTCTACAAAATTAAACAACTGAATGAACATCCTCTGAGGCCGATGATTCCATCATTTTTGCCAGGGGTTGTAGATGTAAGACTAGGGTTGTTGTTTGACACAATTCAGTTCAGTTTGTGGACTTTAGTCAGTGAAAAATGAAAGTAAGTGCAGCGTAAGACTCATCTTTTTGGACTGACGTGTGGGTAGCATTATATCCTACCAAAATAAAATGGGAAGTAAAATCCAAAACAAGGAACCCAGATCAAAGACTAAATGCTCAGAACAAGACTAATCAAAAACAGGCGCAAACTGGGCTGTTCTCAAAAGAAATAAGGTTTACACAAGACTTAAGTCAAACCCTGATGAACTCTGACACAAAGTCTGTGGAGTTTGTTTTAATGTTGGCAAAAAACAAATTAAAAAAACTTCTTTTGTGCCCCGTTGAAAAAAAACTACAAGAAAAAGCAACACAATTTAAAATATAACCAATGTTTTTATTGTTGGTTGATGGAAAAAAAACTAAGTTTTAAATGAACAGTATTCAATTAAAAAAACATAGTAGATAGTTTTTAGAATTTCCAAAAAAATGTATGAGTTTTTGTGGTCTCTTTTAGCAGAAGAAAGTAATTAAAGCCCCACTATGCTCTGAGGTTTTATTGTCTTTGTTTTTTTTGCAATAAAGGAAGGTAGTCAAATTACTGAGGACAATTTTAATAATCTTCCGTTTGAAAAATAACCCTGTTCTGATTAAATTACAGGATAAAGTCTGCAGTCTTGTTTTTAATCTCAGTGAAATCAAATAATTTGCCATTAGTTCATTTTCTCTGCATTTGAAGAAGAATCCAGATGGAAAACATACCACCAATGAGGTAGAATTTCTTTAAGAATATTGTTTTTAGAGATATGTTCAATGTTTTATATAAAAAAGAACAATACAGAATTCCTATTTACATCAGGCAAAGGGACTTCAATGACATTAGCACAATCTCAAAATAATTACCAAAATAAAAGCTCAAGCTTAAAAAGAATTACCAGCTAAACTGATGACATGAACTAGAAAATTAGTTGTAGTAAGTTAGATGCCTTCAGGTCACGAGGCAAACATTATGGCAATTTTAGGACTCAGTAATATCAAAGATAATACAAATGCTCATTTTCTTTGTACAGCTTTCACTTCTTTCATATAAAGTTGAAATGACTCATTTTCATTCATCCGGTCAATTTCTTAGACAGTTTTCTTGGAGAAAGTTGCAACATAATTCAGTGTCCGTTTTTTGTTGTTTTTAAAAAAATGAAAACTCCTTGCTGTTTTTCCAGACTGCAAGAAGGACGGTCCGTCTCTGCTGCTGGTGTTGAAGTGGGGAGGGGAGCTGACGCCGGCAGGACGGGTTCAGGCTGAGGAGCTGGGCAGGGCCTTCCGCTGCATGTACCCTGGAGGTCAAGGTATCAAACACAACTCACTGTATGCTGTCATCATCTGCTTAGATGTTATTTCCACAGTTGTTTTTCATCTTTTTTCTACAGGATATACATTTATTTTTATCAATCACACTTTGTATGAAATTACAGTTACACTTCAAACTGTGTTCAAGAAGAGAAACAGATTTGCACCATCCACCAGTCTTTTTATGTATATTTTTATTTGCCATATCTTCATTTACAGCCAGAGTTTTTACTTTTAATTTGCACCACTTGCCATGTTAGCACATCATTTTGCCCTATTCACTATTATACAATGTATGTCACATTGAGTGAGTGGATTTTATTTTAAAAGGTAGGACCCTGAATGCATGCAGAGGCAAGGAGGTAAAAGTTAGAATTTATTTACTAGTGAAAACATAAAAACTGTTGTGGAAGTAAACTATAAAACAGAAACCAATAACTACAAACTGGAAACAACGTATCAGAACAGACCTTTTGCAGACAGAACCATAGAAGACAGATTTATGCCAAATTGAGTCAAACAACAAAAAGGGGTCAGTCTAAGTGGCTGAAATGAAAACACATGTACATAGAAGCAGGTGGGTGTGGCAGAAGCAGGAACAAAACTGAACTGAACAGTCTCATCAGAAATACTCACAATAGAACCGAATACAGACCTAATAAGGCAGAGATCCTAACAGAGTATAGACAATAATATTTTATTTCCATCAGTATTGTTTTAGAAGACTTGCTGCAAAAAATAAATTAAGATGAGTTTGGGATAGTGTGCAGTGTAATAAGACTTAAATAATTCACCTCAGCTTTTCTGTTGCGCAGCTGTTGCATCTGTTAGTTGACAGATACAAGAATTAAAACTAATATGAAGTTTCTACTCCGTTGTATGTCAAACATGCATAAAGTCAGTTATGACGTTTTCATAGAACAGTTGAGTTGCTGAATGACACCTTTGTTGAGCTGTAATTTCCAATAGATTTAATAATTGTTGTTAGTTAAATGACATGTCTTTAAAAACAGTAGTTAATGAGTTAAATCTCCTAGGATCCATATGTTTCTCACTTGTGCCACTAGCAAATATTAGCATATTTATATCTGAATATCCCCCCGATGCCCTCTTTATTGATTTTATTTATAACTGTTAGCCAAAGGTCAGAAACATACTTATAGTTGAATGAGAGCACTTACAATTCACCAACAATCAAGCAAAGGCAAAATGTGATGAAGTAGGTTCAAAGGTCGACCTTCAATTCAGATTATGTTATCAATCACTGACTTCAGCATTTTGCAACCTTTAAAGCCAAAGATAAAAGAGTAAAGCAGATCTAAGGATGGAGAGGAGGCTGAAAGCAAATAGAGTAGAAAATAAGAGACAAAAAATACAAGTTGCTACTTTATCTGTTTGATCATCTCATTTAAAGAATTTCTAATTAGGTTTAATTTATACTAGCCTGGTAAAAACCAGACCCTGTCCTTCACTTTGCTTTGGACAAGGGTCTGGCCTCACTGCTATAGAGAAGCGATTCTTGCAGGAGGTGTGGCCTCTGCTGAAGCATGTGTGTGTTGTCACTGTGAAGGAGTCTAAGCTAAGAAGTTAACCGGAAATCGCGTGTTCTGTAAACAACCCTACTGAGAGGAGAAATATACCGAGCTGAACGAGACGACTGTAAATGAGAGCTGCTGCTTTGTCAGACAAATTCATTTTATTTTGGAAGCCTTATCAACACAGACTGGCTTCATTCACTTCCTCCACTGCCATTGCTAACTAACTAGCAGACACTGTGCAGAAAATTGACGTCATTCAAAACTCTGCCTTCTGTTTGCTGATTGGCCCAGGTAAAATAAACTACAAGCAGACACTGCGCAGAAAATCGACGTTCTGTTCTCTGATTGGCCCGGCTAAAAATCTGCCAGCGAAATCCTTGTCAATGGGAGAAATGCCAGACGGAGCAGTGAAGGGAAACTAGAATTGAGCGGAATTGCATAGGAAGGCAAGGGCCAGGCTAGATTTATACTAATATTGTCAGGTTTAATTGTTTCTTTCATTACTGAAAAAACTTCCTGTTTTTGTCTTTACTCGTTCAAATAAACTTTGAGTTACAAAAATGATAAGAACACAATTTATTCTGAATTCTTAAGGGTGTAAAAGTACATGTTCCAAACAGACATTAAAGTCTGATGGAGTCAAAGAAAAAATTGTCACAGGCTCTGATCACAGAAAGGCTAACGTGTTTGTGATCACATTTTGCTAACAACTGTTGACAGAAAAGAAGTAAATAACATTAACATTCTGAAAGACAGGACATAAATCAACATTAGAATGACTCATTTAGATTAATTAATCTTTTTTTAAACATCTGTGTAGAAAAGTTACCCAGCAATCCCAGTGGAAAAGAAACAGGTGCTTGTATAGAAAGCCAAATTGGTCATAATTTATGTGCTTTGATGCACCTTCTGTTGAAAATGCCACCCCAGGTGTTTAAAAAGCCCTGGCCGTGTACAAACAGCACATTTAGCTGAGAAGCTAAGAAAGTCCCTCTTTTAGTTTTAGGGTTTTACATATCAGGAATTTTTGCTGCTAAAAGTGTTTCTACATAGCCTGGCCCTTGCCTTCCTACGCAGCTCCGCTCAATTCTAGTTTCCCTTCACTGCTCTGTCTGGGGCTTCTCCCATTGAAATGGATTTCGCTGGCAGATTTTTAGCCGGGCCAATCAGAGAGCAGAACGTCAATTTTCTGCGCAGTGTCTGCTTGTAGTTTATTTTACCTGGGCCAATCAGAGAACAGAAGGAGGAGTTTTGAACGACATCGACTTTCTGTACAGTGTCTGCTAGTTAGTTTAGCATACAGCAGTGGAGGAAGTGAATGAAGCCAGTCTGTGCTGATAAGGCTTCCAAATTAAAATAAATTAGTCTGACAAAGCCGCAGCTCTCATTTACAGTCGTCTCGTTTGGTGCGGTACTTTTCTCCTCTCGTCTCAGTAGGGTTGTTCACAGAACACGCGATTTCCGGTTATCTTCTTAGCTTAGCCTCCTTCACAACGACAACACACACATGCTTCGTCAGAGGCCACGCCTCCTGCAAGAAATCGATTCTCTATGCATCAAGTCCAGACCCTAGTACGAAGCAAAGTGAAGGACAGGGTCTGGTTTAAACCAGGCTTGTTTCTACATGCTGTTGACTCTTTTTTTTTTTCATGCACATCTTTTCTTATTAGTCTTTGTTTTGTTTAATAAAGGGTGGAATCTGTTGCATTTATGTTCACTTGAAGTCCAATTTAAATCATTTTAAAACCTGGTGAATTTTTCTTTATTCTGTCCTCATATGTAAAACCCTGAAATTATAAGATAGTGGACTAAAATTTTCCTCTTAGATGTATTAACAGTGTTGCTTATTTTGTATTTTCAGTTTGTGAGATGCAATTCTGTCATTCATTTTGCATCAAGTTTAAAACTACTTGTTGTGTTTATTTTTATGCACTGTTTACTTAACAAAAAAGATTTCTTTCAGTTTTAGAGTTTATAAAACATTTGTTTGACATGTTTGACATACTTTTACAGCACCTATTAGTATTCCACTAATCTATAAAAGAAACCTACCTTATTAGCTTTTTTCTAGAAAAGACAACAGATTAGTAGTAGTATTTATCTCAAGCTGTAAAATTTAATTAGGATGTCCAATGCCCACCATAAGTGTAATCAGGCATAGGCATACACATGTTTCTGTGGTTCTGGTTCCGTTGGCGACACTTAGAGGTGATTCTGAGAAACGTTCATGATGTGAAAATGATTATTGTTCACACCAGACACACATGATTAACAATTATTGCATCCACATGGACGCAGTTAAATAAAAGACGAGCAAAGTTGTGCCAAAAATACATTTAACAGGAACGGATTCAGCCTTATTGGGGGATATAATAAATAATGTAACACGTAGAGCATTTATTTATAAATAGATTGAATTTTCTGATCCCATGATGATGAGGGGCTCATTCATTATTTTCCTGACTCTAGAAATAATTTCTGATCGCGCAGGGATCATACAAACATGTCCTTCACACATGCAAGAAGTAATTTGCATCTGTTTAACATATATAAATGAAGGCGTGTCAGGGGGAGGTGTCTCACGTGCACTCAGTTCCACGTTAATTGGAATATACAGTGGTGGGTAGCGCTAATCCAAAAATTAGCTCCGCAATTTCTAAAGCACTTATAAAAATATTTAGGTCCGCAACTTCAAAACCGCTTATGCCGTAGAAAAACTAGCGGAAGCTAATTTAAAAGTGCAAGTTCAATTTGACACTTACTAGCTGACAATTCATGTACAATTTATGCACAACACTGCCAACTAGTGGTGTATGAACTTTTTTACAACTTCTACAACTGCCGATTGCTGGGGATGTGATTTCCTGAAACAGAACTTTGGCTCCTGGTGTAAAAATTAAAACGTTGTTGAGGGTTGCTAGTTCGGCTGCTTCTTTGTCTTTTCTTTTGTTTGTTGTATATTTTTCATTAAACAAGCATCATTAAAGTTATTTCAAAACTGTTTATTGGAAAACTGAAGCGATGCTTCTGGGTACATGATGAATTTGATTTGTGACGGGAAACGAAAAGCACGGGGAACAGGAAACTAGTATCTTCCCTTCAAAATAAGAGCTTGGATTTTAAAGTTTTTCATGTTTCCATTGGATTTTAAAGTTTTCCAATTCACCTGAAACTCATCAGACTGAAGAAGTCTCTTGGAGGAGAGACAAAACATTTCACTAAAGAAGAACCCATCCAGAGGACTTACTTATGTTTTCTTTTTGATTTTTTTCTACCTGGATTAGGACGTTTTCCATGTAGTTGCTCCAGTTGACCACTAGATGTCAGTCTTCACCAGCATAACTTCTTTAAATCATTTCTGAGTCTCTAACATCGTTGGCCGATTGCTTTTGAGCTCCGTTTAAACTTTTTTTTTTTTTTAAAAAGGAGCTCTGATTGTAAAGTAAAATAAATCAATACATACAAAACTTTAGCATGGATTACAAAAGTTTACTGTTTTTGCTATTGCCTTCCTGCTACGTGAGCAGACACAAAGCATTGTGGGAAATCAGAACCGTGGCCGAAAGCAACAGTCCACAAGCATGTATACCTTCCCAATAAGTGTGTTTATCTGGGAGGGGTGCTGTTGGATAGATCACGTGTGTTGTGATTCATTGACAGCCTTACCTTCCGCTGTTCAAGATAATGATGACTGATAGATAATTAGTCATTAGCGGTACTGCATTTTAATTTTAGAAAGCATAAACTGCTTATAAATTATAAAAATTAGTAAGACCGCTAAAGCGCAAATGAAATATTTAGGTCCGCAATTAGCAGATTTGCACTTTAGCTAGCTGGTGCCCACCACTGGGAATGTACAAAAGAAATGTGCGTGGATTCAGGCGTATGCACAGTTTGATACATCTGGATTTTTTTGTGCATACTCAGTTTTCTGGATTTGACCGTACACCACAATTCAGTAAGAAATCCATGCAAGTCTTTGTACATGAGGCGCCTGTTCATTCATTTGAATTTGAGTGAAAAAAAAACCCCTGATGGTTTCACTTTATCTCCTGTTGAGTTTTTAACTGGTCTGTGACATCCATTTACTCTTATTTTCAGACTTTGTGTTTGTTTCAATGTATGTAATACCATATCAGGACTGCTCAGTTTGAAGCATAACTAAAATGGACATAATATCATACAACTTGTCCCTTTTGTTGCTTGTTTTTTTATTTATTTATTTATTTATTTTCAATGAAACATGGCAGTTTTTCCTCATCTCAACTACTGTTTTCATACCTCTTTCTTCACCACCACTTTGGTAGATTAACTCTGCTCTTCTCTTCTTACTTGTTGTGCCGTGTACACTACCAGCCGGTCATGGCCGGTCCCTTGGCTGTGAATCCCCTATTGACTTTGGTAAGAGAAGGGTTTCCTCTCTGTCGCCGCTCCACCTCATCTTTCTCTCTGTGCGCTTGTTCCTATATCCACTAACGTGCTCTGATTTCTCCTCACCTCATTGTGATTTTGGTGAATCACATTGATAAATTGTCCTGTTTGTCCTACACTGAGATTGCCGTGGATTGTTTTTGTGTTTATGTGCTCCTAAAGGTAATCCATCGCAGCTGATATTGCTTACGCAGCCAAAGTTACTGCATTGTTGACAAATTAGATCATCTCAGACCAAAATGTTATTTGTAATATTTTTTAGAACAACTGTGGGTTTGGCTCGTGTTAAAGCTTCAGACAAGTTGCCAACATGTTTTAGATTCTTTGTTAAATAAGGCATGAGAACACTTCATAGACAGTTATGGGAAAAATAAATTCTGCTATCATTCATTTCTAGGGTTTTATGTACCAGGACATCTAAAAAAATCATCTGATCTTTGCCAGATATTAAAATGAGTTAAATCTAATGTCAAGTGTACAAAAACACAGATTTCACCAGTTTTCCCCAGTGTATTATAGGCCTGGTGGCCCACCATGCTTTATTGACCCCTGCCAGCGTAACCACCTGCCCTCCCTATCAAATACCCCCCACATTAACAACGATGCCCAGGCCTAGCGAGTTTTCTGGGGACAACCCTGGATTCCACAGTATCATTATTTATTATTAAACAAAACTAATTTAAAATAGAAAAGCTGTGAATGAAAAAGTCCACTCTGTGATTGAACAACTTGTAGAACAGCTTTTAGTAGTAAACGCTCTCAGTAGTAAGTTTCTGTCTGACTGAGTCTCATGAATTTAGAGAAACTTTGATCCACTCTTTGCAATGTTGCTTCAGTTCTTTGAGGTTTACAGATATTTATTTCTGCACAGCTCTCTAAAAAATTGTATTCTTCTAAAAACTTTGTATCTCACTGAGCTGCAGTTTTTGGACTAGTTTGTGACTCAATAATAGTGAGAAAATTGACATGTTCTTTTCTTGTAGTCCCACTTAATTAAGAGGGGTTGGACTGTTGCGTTTCGTTCAGTCAGTTTTTTGAAAATATTTTTTTATTTGCACAGCTTTTAAAACTAGCAGTGTATGTACATTTCTCTGTTACCCATCTCCATCCACATCATACCTACCTGGGCTATCTTTGTACCCACCGTTGGCCCCAAAACAAGCCCAAATCATCACCCCTTTACTACCAGGCTTAACAGTTTGTTTGAGGTGTTTGAGCTGAAATGTTATGTTTGGTTTTCTCCAAACATAGTTCAAGGAATTATAGTGAAACAGCTGTATTTTGGTCTCATCTATTCAAAGGACATTGTCACAGATGTTTTGTGGTTTGTTCAGATGCAACTTTACAAAGTCGTGCTGCCACGTTCTTTTTAGAGATAGCAAATTCCTGCTAGCAACCCTTCCAAACAAATCACATTTATTGAGTCCTTCTCTAACTGGACTGTTGTGAACTCTAACATTTAACATGCTAAGTCAGTCTACAGACTCTGAGATGGAGCTTTCTCTGAGCTTTGCATGGTCTTACCTTGGGGTGAATTTGCTGGACCACCCACTCCTAAAAAGAATGGCAACTGTCCTAAAAGGTTTCCACCATAGACTTAAATATCACAAGACTGAGTCCCGCCCATACCGTACACTGGTAGCATCTGTGACAGCATGGATGAGCAAAAATGGCGACCTAAAAGGGCAACAGCTCACAGTCCCCATAGAAACTAATAGATAAATATCAAGCTGAACATGATCTGTTTCACAGATTATCTGTCATGTTTTTACAATAAATTAATAATTATGTTAATTTCATTCAACAATCATGTAAAATAGCAGATTTACACCAGAAAAATATATAATTTATAAGTAACAATGATCTAAATGATCTAAACCAGACCTGAAGTCAGCCTGTAACTTAGACTTTTGCTAGTTGAAAAATGGTGACTTCAGCTAGTAATAAAGTACATTTATTATTTCTTCTTACTGTCATAAAAAATAAGAATATTTATATTTACCAGTCAACAGTTAGAAAATGTTCTCTAGTTATAGGATGAAACTTGTCTCTATTAGCTAACTATCTTCTTAACAGGTCAGGTTCCTCTAACAGAAATCTAAAAATACTCATAATATTATTTTACACTCTGTAGGTCTAAATATTAATCAGAGGACAAAGTAATATTTAATAGTTTGTGTTAAATTGTAGCATGATTCAACAGTGCTACACTCTGTATATATGCTCCACAAGCTAATATCTGCTAACCAGTTCAATAAATAACAGTGATTACATCGACTTTATAAGATTATTTTAATTTTAAACTGTTACATTATGTTCTGCTCAGATCACTTTGAGCTAAATAAGATAAAATCTGCTGACTTGTGTTGTAAAATGAGACGTTTTCCTGTTTATCTTCTGTTAATAAATCCATAACACAAACAGCTTTTCTGACATTATTTAAAACATTAGATAGATTATATCAACTGTAAAATATTAATAATATTTGGATTAATATTATTATTAATAGTTTTAATGATTTCTACATCATCAGTCCTTTTTTCTGCTCTGTTGTCAACATGTACAGCAATGGGAAATCCAGACTTTTGCCCGTTTAGCGTTAACCAAAAAAAATTTTTTTAGAGGTGGTCACACTGATAGTGATCAGGTAATAAATATCAGCAGCACTTGGCTGCTATTTTCCACTTAAATACTAAGAAGCAGCAGGAGTGGACTTTGTTTTTCCACACAGTTTTTCCACATTGGCTTTGGTTTTTGTTAAATAAGGACATGATAAACTTTTTATGTTTTTGTAAATTTGTGGTTAGATTGAAATAATTTTAGAACTTGTAAAATACCCGATTATTTATGTCCGAATACATAAACCATTCAGCTGAATAAGGGAGGACATTTTACCCTCGTGAATATTGTAAATACCATATTTACACATGTATGATGCAACCCCCTTATTTTTTGAGTTTAAAAAGCATGAAAAATTAAATCCTCCTGTATAAGGCTACCCCTATTTTCATATTGTCAGCCTTTGCGGTGTACCCTCTGATGGGGAAATGGATAATTTGAGGATCACACACTTGTGGGCATGTTTGTAAGCTGCAGAGGAGCAATGGAAGCTTCTGCATGTCGATGAAAACGGTCTAATCCCAGAAGCCAGTTGTTAGCAAGATGCACAGCTTTGAGGAACAGCTCGTTTGGTTCTATTGAGCATGCTAACATGCAACTGACGTCTACTTTTCATCTTTGTGGGTAACAAGAAAATAAAAGTCTCATTCCTCCTCTCACTCAAAATAAAATAAAAAAAAACAACTACTGTTGTTGTTTCTATATGTTTAGCTATGTGCAACATATTGTATAATGGAAGGGCAGAGAGAATTATGATTTATACCCCACAACATAATATTTAAGTCATATAAGAGGAAAATATTTAAATTTATTGTGGTACTACATATTACATAAGCAAAAAAATCTGTCAAAATTTACTCCCTTGTATAATACAACCTCCCCAAATTTATTGCATTAAACACATAAATACGGTATATCATGATGCTACCTGGTTGTATACTAAGTTAACTGCATGAAGCATAATTGTGATTTGCTGTGTATCATCACTTGGCATCCAGTCCTACACTTGATCGTCTTAAGACTTTTAATGCAATCTTAAATATTAAATCTTATCTGCAGGGGAGCTCAGTTTTGATTTTTCTGCTGAAACTATTCAAACTTCTCTTTCTATTCATCCTATGTACATTTTAGGTCACATCATTCCAGCTCTCATTAAGTGAAACAAGCCATGTCAAATATTAAGCAGCTGATGCAGTTCAACTAAGTGATGTTGCAACAGATCAGTTACTGTTTGTTTAATGTTTATGGGAAATCGGTGGTAATTTTTGGTGAAATCAACATGTTTTTTTTCTCTCTCTCCTCCCTCAACGACCTCACCGACTCATTGATCTGTGCAACATCTCTCAGTGCTTTAACCAGGCCAGTTAACAGCATGCCGTTTTCTCTGTACAACCTTTCAGGTGATTATGCTGGGTTTCCAGGCTGCGGCCTCCTGCGCCTTCACAGCACCTACCGCCACGATCTGAAGATCTACGCCTCTGATGAAGGCAGGGTGCAGATGACCGCTGCAGCATTTGCCAAGGTGATTATCAGCCTCCTGGATGAAACGTGGTGTAGAGCAAAGTTACCACTAAAATAGCACTAAAATATACCTCTAATTGATATTTATAAAGATAAACATTGAAGATTTAAAGTTTCAGTCTGTCTTACATCAGGACTATTTAACTAAATTGCTCAGTGGGCCACAGTTACTGAAAGGCTCAGAGGCCAGAAATCTAGCAACTAAATAAATACAGTGTACGTTATAGATCTATATATTTGTCATTCAAGACTAAAAAGTAAAAAAAATGAACAATAGAATTAGTTTTTTAATTAACTTATTAGTTGGCTGGACTAAAGATGCCCAAAGGCCACCAGTTGAATAGCCCTGTCTTACACGCTTCTGTGACTCTGTCCTACATTAAGCACTTCAGTTGAGTCTTTTCTGGTTTCACTGCAGGGTCTGTTGGCTCTGGAAGGCGAACTGACACCGATCCTGGTTCAGATGGTGAAGAGTGCCAACATGAATGGGCTGCTGGACAGTGACAGTGACTCTCTGACTGGCTGCCAGCAGAGGGTGAAGGCCAGGTTACATGAGATCATGCAGAAGGACCAAGAGTTTACACAAGAGGACTATCAGAAGGTGTGTGTAAAGCACTTGCTCAAAAATGACTTCACTTTATTTGATAAGACAAATGAAGCAATCCTCTTATTCCCACACAAGTATGAGGAAGTTAAACTGTTGAACGTGCTTTTTTAGACTTCATTAGGATTTATTTTTTTCTTATGTAAAGGATATAAGCAAAGCGTTTCACATGATGTATGCTGGCAGATAAGTCATTCATATCTGTTTCCATTGTGCTCCAGTTGGCTCCAACAGGCAGCCCATCACTGGTGAACTCCATGAAGGTCATAGAAAATCCAGTCAAAACTTGTGACAAAGTTTACGCTCTCATCCAGAGTCTCACATCACAAATCCGAAAGAAACTGGAGGACCCAAAGTCAGCAGGTTGGTGATTATTAGTCCTCCTTTAAAAAGAGCCCCTTTTTTTAATTGATTCCACAGAAGAAATGCTCGGATGTGTCCGTGTTGAATGGTTTTTGGTGATAGGATCGGCCATCCTGTGCTTTTCTTCAGACCTGCAGCTTTACCACAGTGAGACGTTGGAGCTGATGCTACAGCGCTGGTCCAAGCTGGAGAGAGACTTCCGCATGAAGAACGGGCGCTACGACATCAGCAAGATCCCAGACATCTACGACTGCATCAAATACGATACTCAGCACAACGCCACGCTCAGTCTGGAGGACACGTTGGAGCTATTTAGACTGTCCCGTGCTCTGGCTGACATCGTCATCCCACAGGTTAGGCCTGATCAACGTCTTTAATCACAATTTCTAGCTCTTTGATCTTAAGATCGTGATTATAATTGATGAACCAATTTGAATTGATTTATGAAAGTGGTGCCTACACAGTGCAATTGGATTGATAGAGCAGTCATATATAAATGCAGGCAAATATTTATGTATTTTCACCAATAAAGTCTGACCCATTTAATTTTTGGTCGAAAAGCTTTTTTTTACAGACACCTGCTTTAAAAAAATATCAGAAAAGTTAAATTGGTGGAGTTATATTGACCATCTCAGTTAAAGTGTAGACATCTTTAGGCTGATTATGTCACTGCTCCACGTCGAAGGGTGCCGATTTCCCTCCTCACGTGACTGACAAATGTGACCCTCAAAACTATAAAAATGAAGGATGCATCTGACTAGTAGTCTGCAACCCCTGAATTGAGACAGAGCTTGTTTATGACTCAGCTGAGATTGGCCGCATTTGTTGACCGCTTACGTCACTGCCCCACATCGTAGGCTGTCCCAATTTGTCGGCGCCAACAAAACCCTGAAAACTTCGGCACTAGTACTAGAACTGCAGTAGTGCCAGTACAAACTGTAACACAGGGAAAGAGGGCTCCATCCATCCATCCATCCATCTTCAAGAAAAGTTAACTGTCTAGTTTTATTTTTTTACCAATCTAGTTCTTTTCATTATAAATCAGGAGTACGGCATCAGTAAAGCAGAGAAGCTGGACATTGCTCAGGCTTACTGTGTTCCTCTGATGAGGAAAATCCAGCTAGACCTTCAGAGGACTCATGAGGACGAGGCCGTCAACAAGCTCCACCCCCTGTGAGAACACACACACACACACACACACACACACACACACACACACACACACACACACACGTTATGTTTGGGTGTGTTTTAAAAATACATTATTGGCTGTGCTTCAATCAGTTTCTGTTCCCTGGTGTTCAGGTATTCTCGAGGAGTGATGTCTCCTGGACGTCATGTCCGTACACGACTCTACTTCACAAGCGAGAGCCACGTTCACTCCCTGCTCAGCATGTTCCGCTATGGAGGACTTCTGAATGTGTGTAGCACTTTGTTTTGTGTATTTTTATTGTTTTTGTGTGATCTCTGATGTTGAGGTACTGATACTAAACAGGACGTGGACTTGATAGCTGAAATCTGTGTGTGTGTGTGTGTGTGTGTGTGTGTGTGTGTGTGTGTGTGTGTGTGTGTGT